ATTCGAGTCCAATAGTTAATGTCTGGAATATATGATTTGTGCGCTGTCAAGATTCGGTATACTTTTTGCCGATTTGGGAACCAATGGGCATTGTCAATAAATTTGGCCAGTTTTTCTAATAATAATAAAAAACAAAGTTAGTTCCATTCGAAGAAATGCTGTAGATTTTTTGATAAACGTGTCACGTACCAGGATCCTCAGGGTGCTTTGGTTTATCTGCAAACAAAGTAACGCCTTGCCATGTTCCTGATATGACCATTTCAATTTTTTCTTTGGCTAACGACATATTTGGTTTTTGCAACGATTTAAGTATTTGCCCATACAACTTGTTTCCTCTGAATTTCACTTCTATTAATAAAAGGCCCGCCGCTTCTTCGATATTATCCATCTGCCAGAAAGAAAAACCAATAGCGCCATCTTTTTTGCTTGTATACGTTTTTATTACATCATTGGTTTTCTTTTTCAAAACATTAGAAACATATTCATTAAAATGAGCAGCAAGCAGTATATCTGCGGTATCGTCTGAGAATGGTTCATAATATTTAGGTGGATCGGCCTCAACGGCTTCACGTCTAACTGAATTTTGTCGCTGTAAGTAAGCTTGCAAGAAAGTTGCCAGTATCACTTTAGAACTGTATTGATCAAAGAAAGCATCGGTAAGAGGTGTTTTGTTCTCTTCAAATTCAAATTCCGGATTATCCAAAAATGATGAATTAGCATTAGAACTTGCAATTATTGACTCAAAAATTTTGTTATATCGCAGCATAACCTCTACGAATCCGGTAACAGATTTTTTAATTTTGGCGATTATACTGAAAGCATGATCTGGAATTTGATATGTGTTAGGATCGTATAGAAGCGTTTTGACCGTTGGGGAATTGATCTTCACTTTCGGTTCATCCATTTTTTTGATTTCAACATCCATTGGTTCGACATCAACGGTAACTTTATTTAAATCAGCAGAACCACCAAGAGCTTTCGCTTTCTTAAATGCGTCAGCGTAAATAATATTTGCACACTTTTCAGAAGACATAATAGAGTTGATAAATTCTACATAATGTTTTTCGAATTCTTTGACAGGTTCATCGATATAAACACTTTGACTGATTCCCAAGACTTTGGAAATGTCTTCCATCATCGATTCGAGCGCTTGCCATTTGTTCAGTCTTCTACGAATGAACTCTTCAATTAAAATCTTCATTAAACCTTCTTGTAACCATTTTTGCAAATCCTTGACGTCAACATCTCCACATCGCAAAGCACAAAGCAAGTGTCCAAGGAATATTAAATTATTTGACACATGTTCGATTGTTCTGTTTGCTGGAATCTTTATGTAGTTTTCAAAGAGTTTCTTGTTATCCTCGCGAAGAATCTTGGATTGTTTATAAATCACGTCACAAGTTTCCAAAACCCACTTGGCCTGACGTCTCTTAAACTCTGTTGATGTATCGGCAAGTGCTCTGGCCAATACCAAGAATGGAACTGTGGTGATTTGACTATAAGTGTAACCGAAAATATCAAGAGTTACCAAATATCCCATAATAGGCTAAAGGAAGAAAAAATTTTTTTTTGAATGAGCATTTTATTAAATATTCTTTGAAAAAGATTTCAAATGTTCAAATTGCATGACATTTACCTTAATTTTTTCCCGAGCAATTGACCAATGTTTGTCATTGATGTATAATGGAAGAACCCCTGTTATGTATTAAGAAGTTATTCGATCACTTTTAAACTAAATTTAAATTTTTCGTAAATTCAATTGAATAAGAATACAAACCAGTTATATTTTCGCGAGCTAATCCCTGAAGAATACTAGCACCAATATTCCCCCTTTGAAATCCACCATGAACCGATTCGGCAGTATATTTATCAGCCATTGCAAATGTAACTGAATCTAAGAAGGCTCCAGAACTTAAAAGGGACTGAGTTATTTTTTTAATGGTAATTTGAGATGGATCCGCTATGGCAGCTTCGGATCGTTCGACGTCAAGGGTTAAACATATGCACTCGCCCTCTTTCATGGCTTCAATATAATTATCTAATTATACAATCAAGTTATACATTATTAGAAAACGTACAAGCGGATACTGTACATATGTAAGCTTGTATATACCTGTTGTAACCGTGCAGGTATAAGTGGATAAATTTTCTTCGGACTCCTGACTCTCCAATTCATCAAAGTCTAATGTACGAACGATTTCCTCAATTTTCTTTTCAACCTCCTCCATTCTTTCGAGGTTCTTGATGGAACGGTCATCAAGCTTCTTCTTTAATCGTTGCTTTGTGATATGCTTATATGCCAAATTGTTAAAGCTGGCAATCTTTTGGTTTGTTAACGTTCCTTTTAAAGCGCTAAATAGTCCGATAAATCTCGTTAGGTTTATGATTCTTTTTACAATAATATCTTTTTGAGGATGGGAGGAAAGATTGACACTTACTCGGACAATATATCTTTGAATTGTAAAATTGTACCCTTCAATTCCATGCTTTGTTGAATAATTTCACTTCGACTCGCAGACTTTGTTTTGAAAGCGGTATTTAAAATATTGTTTAATTGTTCATCATAATTGTTTGATTCCTCCAAAATCTCCTTAAAACGCTTGCGTTTTTCCTCCTCAATTTGAATCGTGCAATTGATTATTTCGTTTGTAAGACGCGTAATTTCAAATTGTATATATGGAATCGTTAATAATGTGGCCGTTGGATCATCGGGTTGGATTTGAATTGGGGTAGATTCAAAATCAAACGTTTCATTGCTCTCTTGCTCTTTGAATATCGAAATCTTATGTCCTTCAACTTTAGCGTCATCACCAGTGAGAACCAATTTACCATGACCTTCGTTATCGAATTCGATGGGCAAGAGTTCACGCTCTCCCAACTTCATATACAGAGTGCGATCACCTAATTCCAACAACTCTAACGTAGTTTTCATCGTTGATTTGATTTCACCTGAAGATTTCACATATTGAAAGTTTCCTTGTTTTGTACCAAGTTTCGTTAACCATGAAAGGAGGGCTAATGTAAATTCGCGTTAGAAGTGATCACGTTAAAAATAAAAAAAAATTTTTTTTTTAAATAGTATCATGATCATGAATTTACCGGCATCATGACTTCCGGTGAATCCAATCGTGTGAATTTCTGTATTGAATCCAGTATGGGATAACGCGACCTCGAGATCCTGTTTACAATTGTCAGTATAATAGCCTTGTCCATCAGTAAAGAAGATGATGGCCAAATCCGAATTGACATCGTTCACTTGTTCCACAATCATTTGAAATACAGGATCAAAATTCGTTCCTTTAATAGTAATAAAAAAAAAAAAAAGTCATTTTTGACAAACGATATAAAAATGAATTTTCCAAGAAGCATGATCTGAAACGAATTAATTACCTCCATAAGCATTGATACCATCAAAATAATTTTTAATGGCACCATTGCTCCATAATAGGCTTCGATCGTCGGCAAATCTTTTAACTTCACATTCTGATTGAAAGAAAAAACATGTGACGTTCTCTTCGGTAAGCATACTTTTTTCAAATAGGGATTCCATTAAATTGAGGATGGATTCCTTGGCCTGATTCAACCCGGATCCAGCCATCGAACCTATATGAATTGAATTGAAACACGGGTAAAAAATGACGAACGTGGGAGGAAAAATATACGGGATGTACAAATCTTCAATTACCAGAGATATCCAGGACGATATATAGTACGAACTCTCGCCTCTTTCCTTCGAACCATTTAGATATTACATTTTCAGGTACTTTGAGGGATAAGATACTTTTATCGTTAGCCAGATTAAGATATTTCGCTTCTGACGTTTGAATATCCATGATCAATTCTTTTATTTAATTAATTAAATAAGTAAAATGTGAATTTTTTTTTTTGATTTTGGGAAAAAGGGGGGTGAGATAAATCTAACGAAAACGATTATCCTTATATAAACATTTGAAAAAAGTTAATGGCTGCGCATAATTATAACGTTATCGTGAGAACAAAATACTGCGGATAATGGAATCAATTAAGATCGAACGCCCACGGTGGTTTTATTATTGAGCGCAGTAATGCTTGCGTTTAATCTTGCCTTCAAAAAGGGAAGGTCGATCCCGGTTTAGCTCTAGCTCAAAAAGGGCGTTTTTTCCTCTTACATGATCTAACGCTAATGTCTGTGCTTCACACAATGTTTATATTAAATAAATTCTCTATATTTATTTATTTATCGCAACTTTTCAAATTTATGGTAAGGGAAAGTTTTGAACCTTAAAAAAAAAAAAAACAGAGGATTGACAAATTCCAAAAACCTTTCTATCATAATCCTATTCCTGATTAAATTTCAAAAAATTGCGTTATATGACATTTTTTTTTGAAAAGGAGAACGTTTACCTTTGATTAAACCAATCCCTGGAATGTACCGATTTTACTTTTTTTAGTTAAAATAAAAATTCTTGGCATTAGGGTTGATGATTTTCTGGAAGATTGTTTTTAATAAAAATCTATTTTTAAGCAAATATTTTGGGCTTGGTCATCAAAAATAGCCGAAATTTCTTTTGAAGATTAAATTTTCAAATAATAGAAAATTAATTTTTAAAATAAATTTAATTTAACCCCTTGGATGAAACTTCCAAAATAGTTCAAAAAAAAAGTTTCGGTTTTGGCCCTTACGGATCGCAACAGTTCATTTGAAAATTATTTCCTTTTTATTATTCCCTTTTACTAACAAATAGGAAAATTTGGTTAATTATAGATAACAACAATAAAAAAAGATTCCCTTTTTTCTTTACTTTTGGCCAATAAAGGAGCTTACTAATACTGGAAAGGTTAAAATAAATTAATTGTAGAAATGTAATTAGCCTAGACCCGTTTTTAACAATTTTTATATATATACGTGAAGTACACATAAGAAAGTCAAACCGCTCGCTTTTTTAAGGACTTTTTATTTTTTGTTTATAAATAAATAAATAAATAATAAATCAACTAATTAAAAAATTAAATAATATAAAATGAAACTCAAGAGAAATCAATCGGTAATGATATTATTGGTCGTACTAGTAACTCTTTTAATCACAGTTAGTACAGCAAATCCAATATCATTAAATAAACGACAAGGTCCTGGCGAATCTAAAACTCCGCCTGCGCCATCAGATGGCAAGGCTCCGTCAGATGGTAAGGCTCCCGAAACACCACCATCAGACGGTAAGGCTCCCGAAACACCACCATCAGACGGTAAGGCTCCCGAAACACCACCATCAGATGGAAAGATACCCGATACACCACCATCAGGTGGAAAAACACCCGAGACTCCGCCGTCAGGTGGAAAGACACCCGAGACTCCGCCGTCAGATGGAAAGACACCCGAGACTCCGCCATCAGATGGCAAGACTCCCAACGCACCTCCATCAGATGGAAAGACGCCCGAAACACCTCCGTCAAATGGCAAAACTCCTGACACGCCATCAGGTGGCAAGTCTCCCGCTCCAGATGTAACTATCAACCCATCTGATATAGGAACCCCCACAGCGTAA